AAATGACGAAAAATAAATTATAGATTAACTAACCAATTCAATTTTGTATTCCCTATTTTTAAATATGTTCAATCTGATATTTAATATTGAATCGTTTTTTCATTCACTTTCGAAATTCTTTTTAGACACTTTTAAGCACGCAGCTATAACCAAAACATAGAAATCCACAAGGTATGATAATCATATGCAAGCAAACTTTAAAAAAATCACTATATGTAAAGGCCTCCATAGATACTGTCGATAGCGCACCCTACAATTTACTGGGAGTCTTTACATGTAGCGATCATTATAAGATACTATTAATGAGCTCCTTTTTTTCTTGTGAAAATAAATGCGACAATATTGCTTTAACTTAAATTTTATGATTCACCTGTGTTACATACATACGTATAAAAGAAAAAATAAATAAATATGTTTTACAATTAGTTCTTATTTTAACTGTTATTAGTTTATATGAAGTTACGTTCATTATATGGACCTAACTGTAGTTAATTAACGTGTTTGGCGTACAATTACCAATGACGACTAATTGCTTCTTATCATCGTATTTAAGTGCATTTCTTAATACAAAAATGTGGAATACAACGTAACACAAATGATGGCAATTTTAACTGATTTAATTTAAAATTATAATATAAAACAGGTTTATTATAATGGGTAATTGTATACAAAGCATATTGAAAAGGTTACAAAAGAAGAAATGTTCCGAAAAGTAATGAATTAATTTCTTATTAAAAATCGTACAGGCAATGAATATATGTTTAAAAATAATATAATTTTTAGGACTATTATTTTACTTATCGTGGGTCTTGATAATGCGGGAAAAACTTCTGTTTTAAACTGTATAAGTGGAGGTAGATATTTTGATATGAAAATTTATTTTTATTTACATTTATAATAATATTATGTATATATGTGACTCTGTTTCTTAAAATTCTGAAATAGTAAATCAAAAGTATATACTTTTTCAGATTCTGATAAAACTGTATTACCTACAATGGGATTCCGTACAGTGTCTTTAAAATACAAATCATACACAATAAAAATTTATGATGTTGGTGGCAGCTCCCAAATCAGATCTTTATGGCCAAAATATTATAATGGTGTAAGTATTTGATAAATATACAAATAAATCAAAGATTAGGATTACATTTTACAGAAATTTAGTATGTCGCTTTTCATACATTCCCTTAATCACATAATATCTTTTTGAAATTAGTCTCTCCATTTTGCATCTTTTAGATACATGGTCTTATATATGTGGTGGATGCTAGTGATATTTCCCGTCTTACAGAAAATAAAGTTGTGTTTGGTGAATTAATTTCACATGAATATATTTCAGGGAAACCATTATTATTGTAAGAAAATTGAATATATTTCTTATGCTTACACATTGTTCATGCACAGAACACTATTTTTAGATATAATATGCATCTATTAAGTTGCACAAAAGATATACATGTATATAATATATATTTATTTACATGGAATCTTAATATATATTTCATTATAACATATTTTATAATAGGCTTGCAAACAAACAAGATTTAAATGGAGCTGTTGATGAATTAGATCTTGTTGAAAACTTAGATGTAGAATGTGCTGCTAATACTATGAAATGTCCAACAAGAGTGGAGATATGTTCATGTATTTGGAAAGGAGATCAATCAAAAGATAATACTATAGGTATTAAAAATGGATACAAGTATGTAGTTAATTCTTTTTATAATAATTACAAAAAATTAATATTCTTTATTAAACAAAAATAAATAATTTATGTAGGTGGTTATTGGATATAATAGTTAAGAACTATACAGTTTTAAACAGTAAGCTGAAAGCTTGTCAAAATGCTCAAAATGAAAAAAATAATGAAGTACAAAGTATGGTATTAGATACACCATCAAGACTATCAATTCATTCCAATCCTTTTAAACCAATTAAAGAGCTTGTTTCAAAAAAGGTATCACAACTCAAAATCTTTCTCACTTGTTAAAATAATATATTTTTATTTTATTTATTACAATTTTAGGAAGACATCCAGATACCAAGTATGTCACAAAATGGTACGTAACATTTAAATACAAAATAATATAAATAATTAATGAAGCATTTGTGTAAAATATATGAAATGTATTTACAGGTATTGTAATAAATGGAAGAAAGTTTAAAAAAATGTTCACACATAGAAATAAGACTGCACCACTTACTACTGAAGAATCTATCACTGAAATTAAAACTGTATCAGAAAATGTTAAATTCACCACTAAAACACTAGAACCTCAAAGAAGTTTTCAAGCACTTCCACCAATATTAAATCCGATAGCACTGGACACATACTCGAATACAGTTAGATTAAAGACAAATCGTCCATATACAGCTCCAGAACGTTCACAACAGTTTATAAATAAGATAGCAGTAATTAGTATTCCTGGACAAGTGACACAAGAATAATATTTTTAATTATATTTAAGTGATAATAGGGGACCATTATAAAAAATATACATTATTACAATGTATCCAAGTTATATAGAAGTAAAATATTTTAACAACGAATCTTTTATTTTTCAATTAAAAATTGACTGATAATTTTAATTCAAATGGTATTATAAACATTTAATAAATGTTAGTTTCACTGTACTGATATAGTGTAAGACAAATATCAGCAATGTTTATTTTTTATTATATTATGTACGTAAGTAATATTTATATAATTATAATTATTTTATTCAGCATAAGTTTTTTTACTTTAACTTTATTATATCTTGTAAACTTGTATACAAATTTATGTACATAAAAGTTTGACAAATACAAGGGTTAGAATAATTATTAAAGCCTTATAAAATCTAGAGTATAATGATAGTATAAAAATTTTCGATTATATAATAGTATATAAAAGAGCGTAAAAAATGTATCGAGAAAGCACATTATCAGCACATATTTATCATATTTTAAAATACAATAAATATTGTAATTATTCTTGTAACATTATCTCATGTGTAACGTTATCTTGTTGAGCAACTACTTCGTTAAATATGTGTCGATATATTTAAAGATCATACGAAAAATTATTACAGTAAGGAACAATGCATCTCATATAACATAAGAATCATTAATTCTTCTACGGAAAATATTTTGTGTTACATTACACATATATAAACACACCAATGAAAGCATAGTGACCAAATCATTAGAAGCGACATTAGACACTTTAAAATTGCATTAATTAATATTTAAAAATTACATACTTTTATTATGAAAGACTGGTATATCACTTTTTTAGAAGTTTTTATAGATTACACTAATGCCATTTTAATTATAAATATAGCAATTTTGCCATAATATTAATATTCGATTTTGTTCAATTCTTATCTACTTTACTTAGTAATGCCTTTTTCAAACTATGAAGCAACATAACACATTATGTATCAGTTAGCAATTCCAAAAGTATATGCAAACTGCCTTTCTTAATTCATATTTATTTTCTTAATGATAGGTAAAACTTGAATATTCGTTGTAACTGCACCTTATATAATCACAACTACTTTAATCAGACAAGATATATTCATACTTTCACTATTACTAAGTTGAAAATATTTCATTTTTTTTGTTTTCATATATAAGACTATTGCTTGTTGCGAAAAGACACGGATTTTGTCCTTCTGACTTTTGTACAATATAGCAGGCTTTAAATATATAAATTTCTTAAGTTGCTTGCATTATAATGGTTAAAAAATACCTTTTCTTTTTAAATATTGTGTCGAAATTGTATAGTTAATATACGAATTACTTATTAAATTTTGTTTATAAAGCAGCAATCGCAAAGGCAATTAATTTCAACTATATACTACTGCTGTCTTAATTTTAGTTTTCATTTGTACTTATTTTGTATCTTACTTATAACGTGTCCAATATATTTTCATCCAGTTTGTATGACCACTATTACAGCCATTCTATGTAGATTTCCAATAATTCAAAATTTGTTAAAAATTATAATTCTATCGTTATAAATTTATAATATAAATATGCATCTTGCAAAACATATAGGATTTGTAAGATTTCTTAATTTAGACAAGTGCAAAAATTTGCATATAGCATAAAATTTACTACGTTGTATTGCTATATTTTGTTTTATAATGCAAACATATAACATAATGGCAGTTTTTATAATATAAATGCTATCATTTAAATGCAATACATTGCAATCACACCAAGTAGGAATTGTATAGGCAAAATATTACCCTTTAATTCCTAATAAAGGTACGCTAAATGCTATAAAGGTACGCAATATATAATATATGTATGTGTATATTATACTTCATAAATCTTTCATGTAAAACAGACCTACACAATCCCATTTTTAGGAGGAGTAAACTTTACTAAACGAGTTAACATTGATGTAATGCATGGAATTTGCTTTTGTTGATGCATTGTAATATTTTCAGGAGTATTTGACTCAAAATCAAGAGCAACTCGCTGACAAACAAATGTGAGCAGTGTTAACAAATCATAGCGAGTACCATTTTCTTGCAATTCTGTGCATAATGCTTGCATGAACCATGAGCCACGAGTAGTATTTCTCCATGAGTAATAACCTGTACAAGTAATTTTTCTTAGAAATGCAATATTTCAAACATAAAATTAATTGTGAGAAGACCTATTTTTATAGATTTAATTGTTACATGTGTGAAGATAACTTCTTTTTAAAACTTTCAATAAAAATTTTCTAAAGTTAACTGATATTCTTCAAATAACATTTCATGTCATTTCTTAGATAAAATTAAAGTGTAAATATCTTATAATTAAAATAGTGTTATCATTGACATTATTTTAATTGTCTTTATAATGACAACAATAAATGTTAATTATATAATAAAAAAACATAGTAGATTAAAAATCAATTCTATTTTTAAACTACACTTACCTGGTATTGTTGAGTAAGCAATTAAAAAGTCTGCTTGACTTGGTATGCGGAATGTTGAAGCCGGTTGACCATCTATTTCTGTACGTTCTTTCAATGTTGTACCAGAATCCAATTTATCACCCTGGCAAGCTTGTATAAAAAATAATTTTGGTTTACCAGCTAATGAAGGACACTTATCAGCTGTAAAGTGATTCCAAATGGAATCAGGTTTATATGAAGTATCATGAGCATAAAGTACTCCTAATTCTCCATGGCTCAATATAGCTATAATTAGACAGTCATGTTGAGAATGATCCAAGGCAGCAACTGTAAAAAATAATGTAATTTTAAAGAATACATTCAATGTATTTTCATTTATATTACAGTACAGGATTTAAAAAGGAATACTTTTATTGTAACTAAAAAAGAAGTTCAAAATTATGTAAGGGTCACATCAACCAAGTACCTCTTTCTAAATTTTTCACTATATCTCTATGTGTATAATTATGAAAATCATTTACTTCAAAACCAAGATTTTTCAAAGTATTGACAAGATTTTCACAATCCACATTTGTTCCACATCTTGCTCTAAGATGTGTAATAGTGAAAAATTCATGGTTAAAAATAATAGCTAATCCACGCTTTGGATGATTCATATTGTAGTGCGCAGCATAACGTTCTGTGGGTGCCGTTTGTAAAGGGCCCATAAGAGGACTGACGCTGTTTCTGTAAAATAAAAAGGATGGCATGCCTGATATCTAGATCCATTCAACAAAATAATAAATCTTTAAACACAAACAAATAATACATATGAATAACATAACTTTAAGAATTTGCAACTCCATTGTTTATAATAATTTATTTATCAATGTTATAATCAATATCACTGAGAATGTCATTAATAATTATATGTTTGTAAATTTCTAAATGTGTGTATAATATACTATAATAATAATATAAATATTCGAAAATTTAAAGAAATAAGATGACAAATTTAAGGGTACTTTCTTTGTTTGGCTGATATAAATATGTAGTTAATATTAATTCTATTCACATGTTACTGTGTAAATAATAAAAATTGGATTCGTAAAAAGAACTTATTTTAATTTGTTTTAAAAATAAACATGTTTACAAGATTTAAAGTTTCGTGCAAGTAAATAACATGTATCAATGTACAATATGGAAAATAACAAGGATATATCAGGGTTATGATATTGTTGGAATACATTGTACAATTAATTATATGTATATTGATAATCATATCCTACCTCGAACACCCAAACGCATCTCCAACATCATTACTGAATTTGATGCTCTCGTTTATAAAATCACTTTTTGTAGAACACATGACTTCACTTTAGAAAAAGCTTTTACAATGAAAGAAACAGATCAGTTACAAGATCACTACTCAGAGTTTACAAGCGTAATGAAACGTGAATACGATACGCGGTATACAAGCCGTTCCGTGTGACTCATATACCTTCAGTTACTACGCACCACACAAACAAATTTAAAAACACTTCTAACATTATCATGTGGCGACAGTAATGCCATCATAGTAACAGTCAGATATAACCTAAAAAAATTATGCCTAGTTTATCAATAGATAAGAAATAGGTATTAAATTAATACTATTAATCGCAAAAATAAGAAAAAAATATTTGATTCTATTATAACGTATCGTAGCAAAAAGTAAATATAAACTTACTGTAGTAGAAAATAATTGCATTTCGAAAATGTACGTTAAGTTCTAGATTTCGAAATAGTGAAATATTTAGTTTTAAATTCAACTTCACAATTACTTCAAACTTGAGTAATAGATTAAATTTAAATAAACATAAATATATTTATTAATTTTTGAATTCATAAAATAATTCATAATTTGAATTTGAAATAAGCGTATCTGTTAGTAATAATAAAAAAAGACTTAAAAATTGTTTTAATTATTTAATATAATATTAGTACTATTGAATTTAAATATTCTTCGTTGCTGTATGTGTATAACAATGAATTTTATTTTTTTCTCAAAAATTTTATTTATATTTTACCGTGACAATTTTATTTTCAAAATATATTTCTTGATAGATTGAACTATAGGAAAAATGATCTAAAACTGGTACGAGCGTTCAATATTTTATGACTTTTTTATTGAATGTTTCTAACTGTTATCGAGAAACAATGTGGTATCTGTCATACATATTATAAACTGGTCTTTGTGTATTAAAATTTCTTACACGAATGTAACCAATGATAGTGTTCTTTTTTCGTAACGTGCACTTTTTGTATTACTTTTTACACAAGTCTGTACCAACCACTTATGGCGACCGTGATAAATACGTATATTTTGTGTATCGATTAATGAAACATTACTTATCTATGAAAAATTTCGGATAGTTAATCGTAAGTAGATTTATAAAATTCGTTATTGGTATAAAAACATTGTAATAGGTAGAAAAAAATCGGGCCACATAATTTACTGATTTGATGATGAATTTGATATCTTTCCAACGTCAGATGATCATTCTAACCAATTAAACAATTAACACCTTTTTCTTTTACAACTCACCTTATTGTACGATGAATTAGATAAAATATTATAATTAGATAAAATAATTATCCAAAGATGAAAAGTTTCAAATTCTTATTTCGAACTAGTAAAATTATGGCCGTTTCTTATTCTGCCTAAATTGTAATCTTGTTTGTAAACTAAGTTTGTTCAGTTATTCCAAAGTTTCAATTTCTGTTATCTTTGGCAATGTTTAAAATATTTGTCTTATTTTTAAATTTACGGTACTATGTTAAAGCAATCTGCACAGCTTTTCACGTTTTAGATACTCAAAATATACGAACACTTGTGACTCAGTATTTCTGAAATTTAATCAATTTCTACAAATCCCGCGTATAATTAAATTTGGTCCATGTCCAGTTTTCGTGGATAATTAAAAGTTATGAATATTTATAATGTATACAATATGTAAAACCGAGTTTCTAAAACTACGTTAAATTTTTAATAAATTTAAAATAATATGGATTAACATAACAAAATGAAATAATCGATTATCCGTAAATGCTTATCGGCAAGCTCTAAGCTTTGTTGAATCCATTGAATATGTTCAATGTGCCATAAGTAGGTACAGCTGTGTCATATTACATGAAAATATTTTATTTTCTTAGTGAAACTTTTCAGGCCTTTGACAAGACAACACACATGACATTTGATCATTTAAGTCTTCAGCGGCGCACTGTAGAATCAAATCATAGGCCTCCTAACAATAGATAAATAGGTATATAATCATAAAGTTGTAGAGATTCATAATAATCTGAAATATTATTAAATAAAAGCATTGACATCGATTAAAAAAAAAAAAAACATTTGTTACAAATAGATAATGTTATTATTCATTGTCCAAGATGTATCATATGATTCATATTACTCACAAATAATGTTTTCTTGCAAAAGTTACATTTATTATCTCATCTTTTCAGTATAAAATTCTTTATGTTTAAATAAACATAGTTCGTCACGAAATATTTTATATTATTTAATTATTAAGCA